AGGTAAGCATCAGCATTTAGAAGGCTCTTATGGCACAGACAAGCATTTTAAATAAAACCGATTTGTTGCCATAACACAAAAGTGCCTTTGGCTTTTCTTAACGCCTTTTAATTTCTCCTCCATTCCTTGTTTGCAATTCCCTTGCCAAACTGTCACTCAGACTTTGTTTTTAATCAGTTTTTCCACTCTGATCTCCCCCATAAGTTAGCTGGAGTTTTGAGAGAATTCAGCTTTCATGCCTGTAGGCTGCCATCTTTAATTGTCTCTGTCTTCGGGGAAAATCACATTTTATTTCTTGCCATTCTTTTTAAAAAATGTTTCTTTGGAAGCACAATGAGGAATAGCTACCATCAGAGAAAGCTGTAAGTCCACGATACTGGTGTTTGTTTCTGTTATTGAAGCAATTGGTGGAGATTTGATGGAAGAGCAGAATATTTGCTGTGAATTGCAAGGAGTAAAATGTTGCCATACTTGTGGATTGAACTCCTCTCCATCTACAGTACTGCTTTGAACGGCCGTTTTGACTACATGGCCAGTTCCCTAGGGCTCCGAATTTGTGGTGCTCAAGCAGCTGTGTTTATGCATGTTAAGAGCCCTCTTGCGAGTGAAGAAAAAATGTCTCTGGATAATTATCCATTATTCTTCTTTTTACCCAGGCTAAAGAATGAGATAAATGCAGGTTTTTTTCATATTTAGTCATTTGTTCAGTTTTGGGCTTAAGACTTGAAACTGTTTAAATTCTTCATAATATTGGCATGGAAACGGATAGTATGCAGCCACCTGACTCTCTGTTCTATATGATGTGGTGCTTTTAGGCCAAAAGCAGAACTTTAAAATTCTATTATGTTGCTTAATTAAATGTTTGACCAACAAAACATCCCGTCTTTCCTGCAGACAGTTGTTCTTATATCCTATAACGGTATTGAACACTAAAATAGAATAGCTCATGTATTGCAAAGCTGTATTCACAGAGGCTGAAGATAAGCTAGGGTCTAGCTGGATAATGAGAAGGACAATAGTGTAGTGTGAATGTGGTGACTGGAACCTGAGCCCCTGGTTTCTGTTTTACTTCCAGCCTCCTTGTTTTCTACCCACAAGCAAAAGTCTCTGGTTTGGGTTTAGGGTTTTTCTGTCAAACTCACACCACCTCACCAGTTACCTCTTAAAATCTAGAATGAGTCATGGACTGGAAGTCATGGTAATGGCACTCAAGATTAAGTCTGTTCATTAACGGGCAGGAGAGTCTCTTCATCTCCCAATATGTATTGCTACATGTGACCAGAAGGATTACAGAATATGACAAAGGGCAGTATGCTGCAGGCAGGCATTCTTGCTCCAATAAAAATCGGTGCATGTGTGAAACAGTCTGATTGTACATGAAACTGTGATTTTGAAGTCATGTGCCCACACTTGAAACATTATGCATATTACCCAGAGAGAACCCAGGAGGCTTCAACGTGAGTCTGAAACCCAGGAGGTTTATACATAACATCCAAACTCTGTAAGACGGGCACCCCAGCTCACTCAGAACCAGTACCCCAGAGCTGTGAGGCAGCAGTACAATCCCCACCAGACCATAGTTCTGCCTAATTGGGATGCATTTGTTAACTGACAATGCATTAACTTCTGCACTTTATATAAAGTATATGCACCTTTAAACAGAATTATTAATATTAGTGTAATAACTTGATTTGAATTTTGTGTTTTATTCTTCTATAGGGCTGACTGGTAAAAGTTCAGGCTCGACAAGGAGTCTTACAGTCAAGAAAAATTACGAGCATGGTTATGTTAATAAACTATTACACTGGTAATATGTATGTACTGTACATGCACGGTTGAGCCAGCTTTAACAGGTAATGATTAAAAACCAGCATTTTAAACAAGGATGCAGTAGTGAACGATGCGATTTTTATCAGTGATATTAGCTCCTTGCCACTGACAACAGGAATAGATAAATTCCCTCACAATGGGGAGCAAGGGTACAGCAACACAACTCAGACTGATTGCAAGCATCACGAGAGGTTTGTAGGAACCTCTTTTTTTTCTCCCTTTTTAAACAGAATCCATGACTTCAGAAAATGCTTACTCTTAAACTGCTAAATGTATTTGAATTGATCCACCTGCTGTAAAATAAATTAAATCAATTTGTCTTCCCTGCACTGCTGTTGTTATTTAAATACGCCAGCCATTAATTACAACAGAAGGGCCTTGCTATCACATTGGAGATAAGATTTTTTTTGTTTTATCTTATAACATCTATTTAATATCTTAATGGAAAAGAGCATGCTGGGAAAATTGTTACATTAGAACATGGATTGCAGACAAGAGATTGGCAATCAAAGCGAAATCTTCTATTATGAAACTCATTGCATATTTATATTTATTACACTTATAAAGTGATAAAGAACTTTAGTGGGTGGTAAAGAGGGAGCTGTCCTATCCTATTAATTACCCAGTCCAAGGACAGTGTCTTACAGCCAGCCTATTCTGAGCTTGACCAAGAACCACAGCAGGAACACTCACTCTTAGTCATGGGAGCTATAAATTCTTCTGGTTATGGAGCTTTTGATGATTAGGGATCATTGAGTTAAGCATGGTTGTAGTTAGGGACAATTCAATCAACGTCTGTTGTCACTGAGGAGTCTTGAGTTCCACCGATGTCTCACAGGGTTGTTGAGAGCTAAGATGCACAGATCAGGCTTTTGCTTAAATTCTTTAAGAATTAACTAACATGCAGGATACCTGAACACTTCAGTAGCATAGAGCACCATACATGTTAATCAGTTTTTTTGTTTTAAAAAACCCTTAAGCTCAAGGATCACTTAAGGAGTGAACTAACAAGACATTTAACTTAACACATCTGGTTTTTCTCCTGCAAATATTTTGCCCAATGGAAAATAAGAACCAATTTAATGCCAACAAGCATTCAAGGATTTTAATATTCCATGCTTTATTAAAAATACCATTGTCGTTTCATTTATATTTAATTAAAGTTACAATTTAACTTAAGTTACAAGTTGAATTCTAAGTGTAATTGTAAATGCAGTATTTTGGTCTTGGTTCAATTAGATTCCAATACACGTCTCTGTGTCCGCAGGTGTGAAGGAATTCTTTCCCATTGCAATCTCTCAAACAGTGTAAAGTAACTCAATTATATTCAGTTAAGTTATTGTACGGTCTTCTTTGTTAGTAATGTTTGCTTCATTTTTTTTGTTGTTTTGGATTGTGCACTAAAACAAATTTTCCCCAGAGGATGATCAAGCTTGAACTGGATTGAACTCAACATTCCTAATATCTGTTCAAACGGATTTCCTACTTCCTACCGATCTAGTGCGAATGGCGATTTTTTTTTTTGCAGCACCAAATACAAAAAGCAGTTTAAATCACCATGTTATGACAATTGTTCAATAACTACTGTATTGGTATTCGTAATTATGATTGTGGTTTCATGACCTTGGATGCAAGAGCTGTGCGTTGCATCAGTGTGCATGTCGCAAAGGTACATGTAGATGCTATTTCCCTTGATTAATTTGCTGAAAAGTAAAAAGCCAAAACAAAAAAACACCTTTTGGCTGTGGAGCCTTTTTCCGATGGGTATCGGAGATACTGTACAGTATATGAGGCCAAGGGGTTGCATGAGAGAGAGAAGAATACATGGTAACGGGTAGTGGCAGGCGAAAGTGAAGCTAAAGAGGGGGAAGCCTAATAAGAGAATTCTGGAAGGCACCACTGTGTGAATAGGGAGAGATCAGAAAAAAGATTTCTGGATCAATTTGAAGGAAATGTGTGAAGCAAGTCTGAGGATACTGCTGGCTTCTGATGCCTTTGCTGTACAGGAGTCTTTCAAATCTTGTGAAATAATGCTGGATATTCCAAAAAAAAACTAAGGGTTCATTGATTCTGGGCCACATTTTAAACTACAGTATCACTGTTTAAACTCGAGGACTCGAAAAACGAAACGTGATTTTTTTTTAAGGACAAGTCACCATTGAATGTGGTTGTGATAAATGTTTTATGAATATAGCCCAGTCTCCTATGGAAATAGCAATTGTCACAGCCTGCTCTCTGTAAATTCAATATGACAAACTACACTGGCGCATGTAGACGTGAAGACTATATAGCTCAGTTTGTCTCTGACAGAGCAGGACTTTGGACGTGACGGGGACGCAGCTAACATTTTCCGTCTGCCTTCTTCAGAAATCAGGCAAGGTTGGAAGAAATTAGCCAACGCCGCCAGTCCATTCAGTGCAGTCGTGGCGCGCAGTCGGGCCTAATTAGCAAAGCAATTTGACAATAACAAATAAATAACATTCTTGCCAGGGATTGTCGCAGAATCCCTGGAGAAACGCGGCACACTACACCGGTTTCGGACCGCTGAAGTGAAACGGGCCTCGCCGGATTGTGAGTTAGCAGTTAGCTAGCAAGTCATGCGATGTACAGCGGTAATTAATTAAAAGCATCTCATGAGTCGACGATTGATTTACACGATCTTAAGTTCTGCTCTCTGGGACATGCATTAAGCAAATAGCAATAAAGTATCCAGCATAAACTATGTGGCTTTTTAACTGTAAGAGGACTCTGACATTGAAGGGAAACTCGGCGGGCTGTGCGAAGCAAGCACAGTTTAGTATTTTCAATATCATATAAAAAGCCTGTACTATAAAAACAAGGAAGTCCGTTTTATATGTAATTAAGTGATTTGTTAAATTGTGCAGGAAACACACGATGGTGACCTTTAATTCACTTCGGTCTACACAGTAAAATAAAACATAATTTTCAGTTATATTGGACAGACAGTAAGATATTAATCTGTTACTTTATTCCTTCGAATAAAGATGCATAAACAACCGGCTTCCCACGACACAATGGCGAAGCGGAGACCCTCGATGTCTCTTGACAGTGCAGAAGAAGACGTGTCACGATTAATTTAACACGGAGGCAGCGTTTGACCTATTTTCTCAAACTAACCCACTGTATCCAGCGTACTGCTGTCTCGGCGTGCTTCGTGGCAGGCGGGAGCGCCTGGGTTATGAAGTGACCAGCCTTACAAAGTCTGTCTGACTGTTCCGGGACACCCAGGTGTGTTTGCGATTACAACTGCACACCTTGAGCTGGCATAGCGATACAGCTCCCCTCGGGGTGGCTGGCCCTTTAAGCCAATTAGCACCACAAAGCTTGAAGGCGCGGAAGTTGTTTTTTTTTTTCTGGAGGAAAAGTTTTTCAACCTGTTTAAAGGGATTGTTTCGTTTTTGTTCGCAAGATCGTCGGGAAGGATAAGGTTTGACAGCTACTGGGCAAAGCCGAGAGCGGGGGAGACACAAGCAAACAGTACAAAGACCGAAACCGAGTCCTGCGATCATTTTGTTGTTTTTTTTTTGAAAGACGTGTATGTTTTTATAAAAATGCCCACATTCTCGGAGTGGAGAAACGGCAACCAGTATTACTACTGCCTAAAATTCACACTCAACGTTTATTCAATGTTGTTTTCGGTAAGTACAGCTTCGTTTTCCCTAAATCTCGATACTCTGTTGTCTATCAGCTGCCTGTAATTAACGTCATTTCGTTTGAATAAATGTGGGGAGACATGACCTACCGGTGCATTTTGATTACGATTGATAATATTTGAGTGGCGATCCTATCATCTTTGATAGGACCGGAATGTAGACAGTAGGCGGTTTAAACAAAATCACTAAGGCTAATCACTAATTATATATTTGTTTAGTCTTGGTCTGTTTATAGTCACGGCCTTGCTGTGGATGGTTTATAGTCTTCTTGGAGAAGGTATACAATAAAAACAACTTAATGTTATGTCGGGCTAGAGATGTTTGCTTTTTGTATGTCAGTCATTGTGTGGGTCCATCTTAAAGGGGCGCAGCCCTGGCTTTTATTGGGATTCTGTTTGCCGACGGAAATGAACTTAAGGCGAAGTCTGATCATTGCAACAAAGAACCTAATGAAAACGTTGCAGCAGATCGTACAGGCCAATAGTGCCACATGAAATGATAGGTCTACTACTAATATGGGTTATTAATATCAAGGAGCTGAGAAAAAGCACGATTTTCAAAGAAGACAACTGCGAAAATTAGGCTAGATAACTTTTAATTTTGTGATTTACCCGCCCCCGGTGAGCTCGTAGAAAAGACATGTCATTGCCAGCAACTACTGCTGCATGTTGTATTGCTGTGAATTTGATAAATAAAATGTATTTTTGCCTCGTTAGTGTAAGCCGTTATTCTTGTATTCAGAATTCACTTCAAATTGATTGTGACACGTGTTCTCTGAATGTCCCGAAAACTCTGCAAATGGAAACTAAACTTTAACAAATTAGACGTTAGAAAAAAAGATGGAAAAGGTGCTTTCCATATCTATACCCTAAAGAAATTAGAATTCACTATACTATTTGCTTGTGGTGTGTCATTGCACATTAAGCCAAAGTGCATTCTTTCAGATCTGTTTGACTGACAAGTGCTAGACAAGAACATAAGAAAGGTTACAAGTGAGAGGAGCCCATAAGGGATTGATGAGGCATTGCACTTAGTCAAATTCATTCAAATTAATTCACAAATCGAAATCGCTGTTCTCTTCAGCTTTGGTCACAGTGCATGACTGCAAAGACTCCAGGGTATGACTGCAGTTAAATGCACAGATCTTCTTTTCCTCAGACCTCACCTGGGTAGTTGTCTGTACAGTGTTTCTGTGCGGGGGGGCGCTCAGCTGAATCCCAGAATCCAGGGAGGGGTCAAGGCAGCCTGGGGTCTATCCTGGAAGGACAGGGGGCACAGAGGAAGGCAACCCTAGACAGGATGCCAGCCCATCACAGTGTGTGCACACTGGGACGACTGCAGACATTTACCTGTCCGGTAATGTCCAGAGCCTGGCAAACACCCCACATGAAACTGAGGAGAACATGCAGACTCCACACGGAAGGCACCCAAGGCCCAAGAGCTGTGAAGCAGCAGCAGCAGCATCACCACCACGTCACCATTCAGCCCAATTCCATGTCATGACTCAGAATTTGCCATCGAATGATTTCTTCCTAATATTCAATTGCAAGTTCACTCCATCCCCAGTTGTGTGGGTATTAGGTTATGAGGTTTTTTATTTTCTGTTTTTCTGTGTAATAAGATTAGTAAGTGTTCCAGTGAAGAGGCGTTTTGTTCAGTCATATTCTGAAGGGTTCGGGGGGCTCTTTGAGGTCTCGGCCTTTTAAGGTGGCTCCAAACAAAGCCCAGAGACAACAGGCCAGCTGAGTGGTGTTGATCCTGGATCTGCGGTTTCTCGCGCTGCGCTGTCAAAGTGTCTGTTGCCCCCGGAGAGCTTTTGATTCGCTGATTGTTTTCTGCGAGCGTTTGCCGGCACTCTGGCCTCTGGGCTGTGGACGCTGATGAGAAGATGGGAGAGCACGGGTGATGTGCTCCTCTCTGCCCACTCATCACTGGAGCTCAGTGTCTGTGAGAGATGGCTTAGACTGCTGCCCTGAGTTGTTAGTAAGGCAGAAAAACAAGTGTTCTCAAAACCGCTGACATAGCGGGGAATGTTTTCTTTTCCATTGAAAACGTCTGTGCTGTGATCTGTTTGAACAATCATGATTTGGCCTGTAGAGCGGCGAACTGGTGGTCTGGTGTAGCTCTCACTGCCAGGGCCACTATCTCACGGCTACACAGTCAGCAGTGGTGCCCTGGATCATGGTGAGGGGAGGAGGACTGGAACTGGCTGCTGCCACATTAAACTCCAGCAAGTATCTGCCACAAGCTTGAGAAGTCTGGACTATAGCCTGGGCTGAAATTCGTGTTCTTCAGGCAGCAGTGCACATTTTGTGCTCTGAGCTGGGGGTATTGCCAGATGATCCATTTAAGACCCCCTTTCCTTAGTGTTTTATATGACATTTTAAGTACATGTTTTGTCAAAGGGAATGTGTTTTCCAGGATGGAAATGTAATCAGATGCATGGAGCCATTCAGGAGTTACCATGCCAATAACAGTCATCTTCGACCTAACAAACTGAGAGGAGTTTGTACTGCAGACTGGCTGATCTCTCTAACTCTGGGGTCTGGGAGCAAATCAACAAAGCTTGCGCTCAGCCAGTGGTGGCTAGTTTTGTGAATGATTAGTTTTAGCGGGGTTCGCATGACAGTTAGTACTACAGCTTCCCACTTATTGGGTATTGGGGTTCGATATCCAGATAAGAGACACCTTATCTATGGAGTTTGTGTGTTCTCTCGGTACAGTTTCCTCCAAGCTACCAGAGACACTGGCTAGGTGAACTGGTGCCTTTGAATGGTCCCTCTGTGCTTGCATGTCTGTGTGTGTCCTGCCTTGTGCCTCATATTTCCAGGATGGGCCGCTTTGTGCTGCGATTGTTGTCTGGAATGAGTGGCATTGTGATTGGATGATGGACACCCCTAAGCTCCCCAATGAGGTAGTGTTCACGGAACAGCCTACCATCCTGTGAGCTGTTGACCCAGCCCTGTGCATTGTTACTGTAAATGGAGAAGATGTGGGGAATGGGTGGCCTGTCTCTCCCCCCCGAGAGACCAGTGCTGTGCATTACATTGCGTCTTAGGAGGGTCACGGCTCTCATCTAAATCACGAAGTGTTTGGAAATGTACTCTGGCAGGCCACAGCAGAGAGAAAATGTTTCCACATCATTGCCTTGTAATCGAGATGTGCTTAAAATTGTTTATCTTATCCATTTATTATTATCAAGTCCAGTGCTGTTGATTCATAGCCCTTTCTGATAATCTGACTTCTCTACCTTACAGTACTGACAGCGGCTGCGAAGGTGAGGGGTCAGATCTGTGTCTGTGCCCATCCAGTGTGTGACCTCTCGTGTCTGTTTCGCTGACTCTCTGCCATCTGTTTGTCTTAAGCTATATTTCAATATTTTTCTGAGCCCGTCTCTGTCTTTATCTTTATGTGTCTATTATCCTTCCATCTGTGACTCCTGACATCTCTATATAATTGAGCCAGCGGGCTGTGTCGCGGTGAGATAGCTGAGGGAACTGGTGTGTGTAAATTGTCCTAAGGGGGAGCTTGTTTCAGTCGCAGTCCACAATGTCAGTGGAACGACAGAGGATGCTGTTCTCTAGAAACTTGATGCTGCTGTTTCCGTGGTGATCACAGGACACTGGGGATCGCCATCACAATCGCTACAGCGCCAATGGAATGTCAATCACAGTTCCAGGACATCATTGCCTGACGAGGTTGTGCATGTCCGGTTTGGAAAATTAAACTATTTTACAGTCTCGAGGAGAGAAATTGCTGTAACAAGCCAGGTTCAGAACCATTAAAGCAGTGTTTGTAAGATGTTAACTTGTCCCTCAGTTGGGACTGGTGATAGTCATCAGGCGAGATTTCATTGGCAAGATTTAGGAACACATGATGATGATAAACAAAGGAAAAAGGTAAAAAAAAAATTAAGTTAATCACAGTTCTCCTAAAAGTTTATGATCAACCTGGTTTTGTTTTTCATGTTTACATGTTCCATCCTGCTAAAAGGGTGGAATATTCTGGGAACATGATCTTTCGCATAACCTCACATGCACTCCCAGGGTATTCCAAGGTGGAATAAACCAGTACTGAGACATAATGGGTTGATCATAACATTTTAGGAGAACTGTCTACTTTTCTTTGGCAGTGCAAGTGACACATCAGCAGGTAGATGTATTGATCAGGAGACAGGTGAAGCTGACGCGATTGATTGGCACAATCAATTTTTGATTCAGTGCTGCGTTCTAAAACTGGTCCCCCCCCCCCCAAAAGAATATGTGTGTTTCCAGTGCTGTACAAGGCTAGGTGGAAATGTGCCGAGTCTAATGCAAATGGAAATGGCTGGAAGCAAAGCTAGCTGCAGTTCCTTATTATAATGTAGGTTGAGTGTATCGTTTTGGCCCTCCTTTTTATTATTTTTGGCCCTTCCAGCAGAGCCAGCCCCCGATCATAAATTTCCTTTAGCTCGGGATTGATTCAAAAGAGGAGGACAGCTCACTGCAGGATTTGTATTGTTGACTTTTTTTGCAGCACAATTTACGATCTACTTGGCCAAGGGAAAGGTCAATAAGGAGCAAATGGCTCTTTGTAAATGGGTTGATTGTGTCTTTTTTTGCACCCTGGATTTTCTAGTGTTGGTCACTGTAAGCTTGGAGAGCTCTGTTGGATATTTCCATATGATGTTCAGAGTGTTTTGATGTACACCCCCCACGAACAATTTAATATTTGTGGTGCTTATTAAGTTATTTTGCATGGTGAACCAGTACAATCCACTACACCCATATAGTAGCACATACTGTATGGGGCGTACGCAGCAGAGGGCACCAGTGCTCAACAGGTTTTATAGTCCAGAAACACTTTGCATGCTCTGATGGGCTGTTCGTACCCTCTCTTTGTCTGTGGGCAGGTGTCCTCTATGGTCTATTCTGTATTCGCAAGCAGTGAACGTATCGTAATTATTATTATTGTCTTGCAAGCAGAAAGTGAGGAAGTGCATGCAG